AATGGATTTCACTATCTGCTGTGTAATGTAAAATCGATTTTTAAATACTTGGTGATGCTTTTTTAAAAGTTTTTATGAATAGTTTTAAGCTGTATTTCACATGTTTGTACAGAAGTGCTATGTCGAAATCTTAAGTCAATAAAATTGACAAAAAAAAAAACAAAAAAAAAAACAACAACAACAACCCACCTGTGACATGCAGAAAATTGTCAAATAATGTTGAAAATACCAGGTGCACATCATTATATTGTAAATAATGAGTGTTAAAATTTCCATACAAAACTATGCAATAGTATCTGAGAACAGGTCGGACAAAAACAAGATAATGATCAAAATGAAAAAAGACACCTGTAAAATGCAGAAAAATTAACCAATCATGATGAAAATATCAGGTGCACACATTTCTATGGTGCATAATAAGTGCAACTTTTCAGAAAAAGCCTTGCAATAATTGATCGAGGAACGATCCAGACAAAATCTCGTCTACAGACTGCAGACGGACACACAGACAAATGATGGTGATTCCAGTATAACCTCCTAAACTTCTTTCGCGGGGGGGGGGGGGGGGGGGGGGGGTGTTACACAAATTATATACTTATGAATATAAATTTTATATTTAATATTATATATATATATATTAAGGAAGGAAGTCTAGATCCAGCCCCCCCCCCCCGGGATTTTCGAAGTTAAAAATTTAATTTTATTAGCTATGAAACTCAAAAGGTCAAGAGGTCAAATATATGGTATACAGTAAGGTTAACATTAACCCATTAGACATACGGACGGATGGACAGGGCACAAACTATATATACCCAAATCTTCGATATAAAATGGGGGGTAATTCTTATATATATTTCCGTTTTATAACTTTCACTGTATATCATTCCAAATATTTGGTATGGACATACCCTTTAAATCTATGAATGTAGATAACCTATAGTCAAACGTATGTCTTACAATTTCTCAGCGCACGTGACTGACAAATCGAATAACTTCAAAGAGCGGTAACTCGATCTTCGAACCATTACTTGTACATACGAGGGTTGTCCCGTAAAATCGTAGACAAAGCGTTTTTCTCGAAAAGTGATGGGCGCACTAAGCTGAAAATTTCAGTAAATGTTTATTTATCATATTAAAGTGCATGATAATTTTTTTGATAAAATATAGGCAAAAATAAAGATTTTATTATGCTTGAATGTGCATGGGGTATTGTCCTACGGCGCACGGACAAAAAACCAAGGTTTTATTGAAGAATACACAAGTTTGAATTCAAAACAAAAGTTTTAAATACATAAGATTTGGATTAAAATTATCGTAATGTAATTCCACAATCAATTTCGTAGTCTTTGTAAAAAATTTAAGGCATTTGGTTAATTTTTGGCAGTTTCTCGGGCATTCGAAATGGGAAAGTGGTAAACACAACACACGAAAAATGGCGACGTTTTATGACGTTACGGCGCACCGGAGAGCAGTTCCGTTTTAATTCGATGTTGTAATGACCTCTTTAGAGACTTGAAATGACCATAGAAGAAAAAAAGATTATTAAAATATCACCATATCTTAAGTATACAAATGAAATAGGAGTTTTCTTAGCGAAGTCTTTTTTGATCGAGTCCATGGGGAGTACAAAACATACAGACAATCTCCTAATGTAATAGCAAAAGACGCTGTCACAGTAGACCGCCGATATGAGATTTTCTATTAGTTGAATGATGGTGAGAATATTGTCCGTAACTTACTGATAAATCTTCAGAAGATCGCATGAGGGCGCCAATTGGTTCTTCGACTGTTTATGGAGACTGAAGAATGTGTATCAATGAAATTCCTAAATTTAAGTCGGACTCATCCAACTTCATTTTCAGCAAATATAAAAGGTGACGCTCTTTTAGACACTTTGACGTTATAATCCATGCGCCGTAAGGTGATACAATACATGGCATAAAATCACATAATTTGTTTATTTATGCATATATTTATCTGAAATTTGTTGTGTATATTGCTAAAATAAATACTAAATAATAGTGAAAATTTCAGAACGCAGTGAAAATTATTTTTTACACTAGACAACTTGTCCACGATTTTACGGGACAACCCTCGTAATTATGTTGTCTATTCACTTTAGGGAGAAGGGTCGAATGCCAATTCCGCAAGCATTTGAATTTCCAAAACAAAATGTGTTAAACATATTCCCCTTTTTACGTCCCTGGATATATATAGCTTGTGTCCTGTCCGTCCGTCTGTATCTCTAATGGGTTAATGTTAACCTTACTGCATATTTTTGACCTCTTGACATTGGCCTTGGAGTAAGACCCACTTTTAAAAAAAATCCAAACTAAATTTATCCTTGACAATAACTTTTGAACAGTTTTTGCTCTGATTATCATACTTTAAACATGTGTATTTATTGTGCAACAAGGCCTTTCCTTTGATGTAAATATTAATTCCCAATCTTATAGTCTGACCTTCTGTCCAAAAACTTGAAACTTTGCCATATCCTTTGAACAGTTCATAGTTAACAGTTTTTTATTTTTTATCTTAGAGATGTATTTTTGTCAAGACCATCCTTCGGATACCAACAATTTTGTTCTTTTGACCTTTGAGTTTGACCTACTTTAACCTTGGCCATACCTTTAAAACAATTGGAGCCATATATGACTTATTTTTCATGTGCATTTCTTGTGTAAAGACCTTCCTCTGGGTACCATACTTTTGAAAAATTACCTTGACCTTGGGGTTTAACCAATTAAACAAGATGTGTTTGTGAAACACTGCGCCCGGTGGCAACAAAGTTTGAAAAAGCTATTTTTAGCATAAAGGTCACAGTCAAGGTCACAAGGTCATTGACCTCGGTGTTACTATTCAAAAGAGCTTCATTAATGGAGTATCTCAACAGTCTTTATCTCCTATGGTTAAAAAATTATGACAAAAGTTCGAAAATTTTTAGCATATAGGTCACAGTCGAGGTCACAAGGTCAATGACCTTGATGTTATTTGAAAGAACTTAATTAGTGGAGTATGCATAACAAATATGTCTCTATTTTTCACGGTTCAGCGAATGTTAAAGTTGACAACAGACAGACAAACAGGACAAAAACAATATACGCCCCGGGCCCATAAAAATATATATACATGTATTAACCTTGGCAATAACTTTGGAAGGGTTGGTGTATGTGTTTATTGAGACAAGTCTTTTCTTCGGTAAACAACAGTTTGAGTGTTGTACTTGTTTTTTTGAGAAACTTTAACTTCGCCACAAGCTACGTCACGTGGGAACATCGGTGTCATACAAACACATCTTGGTTTATTTATTTATTTTTATGATTTTGGATAATTTAATCCAAGCTGATTATTCATGTACATATTAACGCTACAGATCCCGTAAAACAAAAAGGTGCAATTTACGGCGCAATATTTTTTGCGCACTTTTGGGGAGAATTTCTCCACTTTCTAGCATTGTTCAATCAACTACCTTTCACTCCTTAATTCTAGGCACATTATTTAACTAATCTGTGTGTTTTATCCTTTATAGTCGTGTCTCTACAAGTGATAAACTCGCTTGATTAAAATTATTTGTTAGACTGCTGAAAATTCACTTCAAGCGAGTTTATTGCCTGTGGAGACTGTGAACTATAAATAGTTGAGAGGTGGATAAAATATACAGATTGGATACAGAATATGTCTAGAATTGGAGAGTGAAAGTTTGTTAATTAAGGTAGGTCCGTACTTTCAGAATTTTCTGTCAAACTGATAATTTTTCAATTTGAATACCTTGAACAAGTCTTAAACTTACTAAAACACCCATAAAAGACGTATCTTTGCAGGTTAATTTTCATACAACATGTCTCATCGCACATACCTCTAAACACTCAAAAGCCAAAATTGAACATAAAAAAGTGTGATATCATATTTCTCTTAGTTATGCACCTAATCACATCGAATTTATGTTAAAACTTATGAAGATCAAAAATATTCATTTGCCAAGAGAATATTTGAAATCTTTACTGCAAAACATTAACAAATTGGTGTTGAATCTGTCCATGTCTTTCAGAAAAAAATCTTAAAATATCTTTATTTTTATTTTTTCTCAAAATCCAAAATGTTTAGATGCCATTTTTTCTTCAAAACTATTAAGAATCATATCTAATGTTAACAAAAACAGCTACTTTATTATGGTTGACCAGAGAATTTTAACAAAACAGTCTTTTGAAGACGTATACCCCCATTTTTGGAACATAAATTTTTTCAATCATTCAATGCAAAATTTTTAAAAAATAAAAATTAAATGGATGATATAGGCTCTAAATCAATAAAAATAGATTTCAGGTTAGTTTGCTAAAAACAAAATTAAAAAGCTTTGGGTCCATAAAAGCAATTAAGAATTTTGTGTCTGTGTACGTAGTAAATGACATATAGATCTTATGGACAGAGTGCAAAGTGTTAATTTCCATAAATAATGTATATTAAATGCTTAATATGCACAATAACACTATAATAAACAAATATATACTTGCTAAATCATTTTTAATCACCCAAAAAGATTTATATCAATAGAAAAGTGAAAATCAGAATTTTATATTGATGTGTAAATTTAGAACCGGATCCGTAAAAGTGTGGGCCTTCCTTAAACAATGCTAGAAAGTGGAGATTCTCCTCAAAAAGTGCGCAAAAAATATTGCACCGTAAATTGCACCTTTTTTTGCATTACGGGATCTGTAGCGTTATGGTCAAAGACAAATATATAAAACCATAACGCTACAGATCTGCAACTATGTACATATAAGATATTAAACATAGATTTATACTACGTGTACATAATCTTTTGGTTAAAAATAAAGTAACATTGAATTCAGTTTAAATACAATGCTATTGCGCAATAGTCATTCACACACATATATTAAAGTTGTTCAGTTTGTCATTTTATAAAAGGACATACTTTATCCTTCATGTCCCCATATTATAACCTTGATCGAATTAAGGTCAACAACTGTCCATGACCTTCTCAAACTGGACAGTGGTATCAGTAACATTGGACCCCTGCGTCTTCATAATGACCACAGTTGTGTACACCCCAACCAGCTGATCCACAGGCAAATAAGGATTGTTCATTCCCACGACACCTAAGGTTGCTCAGCCATATTGGACCACTACCAGGTCCAAACGACTGTCGGTACACACGGATAGAACCGCCAGAACTAGAAAATAAATTCTTCATCATTAATGGGACTCTAAAATGTACATCATGCTTATAAAAAGATCTAATAAAATCATTTTTAAATGAAAAAAAAACTTATGGCAGTTTAAAATTTTTCCATATATTTCTATGTAAAATTTTGATTCCCCATTGTGGCCCGTAGATAACAATTTAAAATCTACACTATACCAGATGCTGACATAAGGGGCCCAGTGGTTCTTGAGAGGAAGATTTTCAAAGATTTTTCCTATATATTTCTATGTAAAACTTTGATTTCCCATTGTGGCCCCGCCCTTCCCTTGGGGGTCTTTTGAACAATTTAGAATCTACACTATACCAGGACTTACATAAGTATTTTCTGGCCCAGTTTGAAAATTTACATTGAATCATTTGTGCGGGGACTTGGCCCTTTATTTTAACAATTTAAATTCCCCTTCCCCAAAGGATGCTTTCTAAGTTTGGTCAAAGCATAATTTGGTAATTTATGTGATCAGTCACTTGAAATAATTATGGTTGTGGCAGGCACGTAGTATCGGAGTGAGGGGGTGGAGGGGGCGAGGGGCCTGGCTTTTTGCCCTCAAAAAATTTACATTGAACATTGAAAGACCCCCCTCCCTTTTCTTAAAGCATAATTTGGTAATTTATGAGTTTAAATAATGGTTGTGAAATTAAGACCCCCTCCCCCAAAAAAGGACCGAATTTGGAGTTTGAACAATTTTCACCCCCCCCCCTTATAATTTTCAGTGTACATAATACTTACAATCCCTGCATCCGACAGATGACCGTTGCCTCGAATTGTTCAAAGTTATCAGCACACACCGTCCCCCATTGTCCGTTATAGTAAACCTCAACTCGACCGCCTTTATTGTCTGTCCCATCGGCCAGACGAAGTTCTGAAAAGTCAATGGTTATATATTTTTATTATCTACTTCTGATTATGTCTGAGTACTGTAAAAATTATCAGATATAAAAGTTTGTAATAAAAATTATATATATTGGACAACTGTCTTGACGGGGTGGGGGGTTAATTTCTGAAGGATTTTAATTAATACTATAAAACTGCCTTTTGCTGAGGTAAAAAAATTTAAGTATCAAATATTTAGTTATTTATTCATGCATTCTTTTGTTCTTTCGTTTTTTTTAATTAGTTTTTTAGTTGATTGTTTGTTTATTTTTCTTATTAAAGGTTATTAATTGTTTATTTATTGTTAAACTACTTAATTTTCCCCTGATAATGTTCATAAGATTTATATATTTTGAAACTCAAACTAAAATCACCATAGCCACTACTCTTCATTTTCTACAACCGAAATTCCTGCAGTCTTGGGGTTCTTTATAAATAGCAATAAGAAATAACTTTTATCTTTTCCTAGAAACCACTGAAGGGAGTGCATCCATGCGACGACCAAGCTAAAATTGTTAGTAAATTGGCCGATGATGGCTGCAAAGATTCACAACTCAATCAAAATCAATTCATGGAATTTCAGAAGTCGATCCACATCAATCCGTGGCATTGAGGAGAAGATAAAATGCTGGAAAAATCATAAATCATCGAGTTTATCATCGTAGAACTTTTTCGACCTCTCGATTACAATTTGTGTTGTGTACATCCAATTGCCAGATATATTTATATACATCAGCTGTAATTGATATATTTTTGCCTGAATAATCTCTTCTTTCATGTTTACCCCCCGGTTCATGGCCAACACGGTTTATCATAAATTGTTTCCACTTCAACTTTCTAGTAGACATAATTCATTCTTTTCATAACAGATAATTATATTAATAAAACTGTTGCGAAGTCCATCTCATGTGTGTTGTCTTTTTAACTTTATAGATGTTTCAACAAAGCAAATCAGGTCTGACAACCAAAGCTTTGATTCAAATTTGATGCAAATATTATATTATTCGTTGTACGTCATGTTTGAATGCCAAGGGAAGGGGCAAATTGTTCATGTTGTTTGGAGACTTGGCGTAAAATAACAAAATATATACATCTACATGTGTAATAAAAAAATAATCACCTCTGGGTGTGCTTTTATGTTGTGCCAAAAATATTGAAATTATATCATTTACACATTTTGTTTCATGCATTTTAGGCGTGTTGCATTATATTTCAATCTAAGAAGCAGAAAGGGGGTCTTAATTTGACATCTTTTTAATGTTTAATGACTTGTAGCCCAGCCCTATACAAATCACTGAAGCATTTACAATGTTTAAGAATCTAAGAAAATCTCTCAAAACACTCTTTATTTTTTCAACAAGAATCTCAAAATTATTTCTCCTTACTTGGACCCACTGGTTTAGGCGTTGTAGGCTTTTTCGTTGTCGTCGGTTTAGGCGTTGTCGTCGTCGGTTTAGGCGTTGTCGTCGTCGGTTTAAGCGTTGTTGTCGTCGGTTTAGGCGTACTTGACAGAGCCGGTCTTTGTACAGTTTCTGAACTCTCTAAAGATCCTGTGTCAGGTGATATAGTTGACAATTGATGACTTGCTATAAGTCCTTCCAAATCTTTTAATTTGTCCTCTATACTGTCAATGTGATGAGAAACATTAGATATTGAGTAGTCAATCCGTGCTTTTAGGATACTTCTCCCAGCTTCCAGTTGTTTGATGTCCATTTTGAGAGTCCGCAAATGCCAATTCAGGGCAGACAGAGTCTTTATTATTAGAGTGTGGTCCTTTACATACTGTAAAATTTCTGAGCGTAAAAATCGAAGTTGGACGTCAACGTAGCTTTTCCATTCCTCTTGTAAATGTCCATTGGAAGTTCCCACAAAAATTAAGGCGGTGCACAAAATAAACCATGACCCCCCGCAAGATAGTACCCTGATTTCCATCGTTTTTGAACACTCTCTTACGAGTCGGGACATTCACTGTGGTCAGCAAGTGCGGTCAGTCACAAACCACACAGTTCATCATCATGCTGTGTGCAAATCAACTGCAAATAATTTCTTTTAAATTCCTTTCAACTAATTATAATACGGAAACTGTAAATGACCTCCTCGCCATTCAAATCTTGGCTTTAATGTCCATGGAGACCTGTGTTCTAATGTTTACGTTAGTTATTACGGAGGAGATAACCACTGCGTCCGCAGTCTTCTCTTTCAGACATCTAATTGTTACCCATAAATACTCGGATCAGAGTGGACATTAATCACAGCTGGATCATTTTCTTGACTTTGCCCCATCAGCTGGTCTGTCGGAAACTGGCAAAGTTCAGAGATAAAAACTATTTCTGTTGGCATCTTCAGTCATCACGCAGAATTTTGCATGTTTCCCGTCTGTTTTGAAGGGAAAACCCTTGTATATATGTAAATACTTATTTCATTCAACAGTTTTCACCCTCTGAAGGTCATCCTAATGGTATTTTGTTGCATTTTTCAGCTCTGTGGCTATAAAACAATGCCTAACGATGGTCAGCTGGACGCTGTAAATTTCCTGTTTTGACAATTATTCTGTGTACGTTTTCTGTATGACTCTTGTGATGTGTGAATGTACCTGACAGGTAATCTGTTACAAGATACTGCTGACCCCTCATCTCAGAATATTGTACAGTTAACCTCACGTCGTCACGGAAAACACTATGCTTATGAATTCCATTGCAGTAATTACTTAGCATCATTAATTTTCATCATATATACTGTATTTCTTTGAAAAAAAAATTAACATACATTACGTAATTTTTTTTACGAGTGTACTCACAAGCAATGATTAAATCTTATCTCTCTCTCTCATTTAGAATCTATGTATAGATATTTTTTTTAATTCGGTATATAAAACGAATTATCAAATCAAATTTAGGAAAAGGAATAAAAGAAATTATATATTTTTTTAATCAGTAATAGCAAATACAAAGAGTTATACTAACAGAATTGTTGAATTTCATATATAATGAATTCCAAAATGTGTTTTAAATTGAAGTTGTTTAGAAGAATTATTAAATCTGTTATCACAAATCAAATTTGATCTTGAATATCTTTCAAAAGGCCCTAAATGTTAAATTTAGATAACAGATCTGAGAATTCTTGAAATGAATTAATCTCGTTAAAAGAATTGTCGAATTGTATTTAATATTTTGTCATAACAAATTCAACACGTCTGTATTATTAAAAAAATTATTTGAAATAAAGAATTTAGTTTCTTTATGTAATTGAATTCATGTTTAAAACAAATTCGACAATTTGTAATTGAAATATCGAAGTCCTAAATAGTCTCTATTCCCCGCCCCCTTCTCTTTCTCTCTCTCTCTCTCTCTCTCTCTCTCTCTCTCTCTCTCTCTCTCTCTCTCTCTCTCTCTCCGAGGCTCTCATGTCCTTTCTCTTTTTGTCCCCCGCTTTCGCGAAAGCGAGGGGATATTATATAAATCTCATTCGTCTGTCCGTTTCTCCGTCTGTCCGCCTCTCCGTCAATCTGTCTGTCCGTCCGTCTCAAAAACTTTAACCTTGCCCATAAATTTTGATTTAGTGGAGCTATGACTATCATATTTCACATGTATATTCCTCGTGACTAGACCTTTCTTAGGGTACCACCAAATTTGACCTTTTGACCTTGGAGTTTGACCCAGTTTTACACAAAAATTCTGAACTTTTACTTTGGCCATAACCTTTAAATGATAAAAACTAGGACTTTCATATTTCACATATGTATTTCTTGTGGCAAGGCCTTTCATTGGATACCCATAACCTTGACCTTGATCTTGGAAATTTCTGTACCTGTGAAAAACTTTAATCTTAGCCATATTTGAGACAATATTTCATAAAAATGACATCTCACCCACAAAGACACCGAAAGCGGGGGACCACAATCTTTTGAATTTGCTTGTTATTTTTTTGTTAGAAATTCTATACATAATAGAAATATTTATAAGCATTTTCGCAAATCCTTGTGTATAACTGTATAATATATAAATAATTTTGTTAATTATGTAAACTTTGATTTATTTATAATTAATTGTAAATTACAAAAATTCAATTTTAAATTTTACTGTGTCCTGTAACTAATTATTATTTTTTTAAATCTTACAACTAAGTTACCCGGCGTCAAATTTCTTATACTTTTTGAAGAAAAAAAACTATGGAGAACTCTGTAGAATTCATTTTGAAATACAGTCGGTTTATTATGCTTTCAAATACATTATAGTTGCATAAACTGTTACAAGCTGGTGTATATCGACTGTGCTTTATATACAAGAACGATCTCTTGATAGGGGTGTGGGGTTTACTGGAAATGAATTATTGATATTGTCCTGGAAAATGTAGAACTGACCACAAAATTAATAAAAATGCACCTGTTTGTTGCCCCTTCCCGCCGCACACTGACCTATGCATATGATGTCGTGATTCGTATACTTTTATTAATTTTTTTTCCCGTGATAACTTGAAAAAAATTTCCCGCGGAAGACCTAATCTTAGTAAAAATGCCACGTACTAGCATAAAACAAATGATCTGACTAAAAAATCCTTTCAAATCAAAATCAAGTATTGTTGATAATATATTTTTTAAAAAACTATTCCAAAAATAAGCTCAATATAGGGGTAAACCTAGCAATTTAAAGTAATGGAGCACTGGAATGCCTTTTTCTGTAGAAAATTAAAAAAAAAGTTCACAACTGTTTTAAATCTTTTAAAGTAGAAATTCAGAGAAAAATGACAAGATTCTTTTAATAGATGTTGACATAATCCACAGGATTTGAAACTCACTCACAGGTGGAAATGAGTAATAACTCCAAATACACCTGAGTCAAAGGCCATCAAGAGTTATCTACCCTTTAACAACAAACCTTTTTTAATCGATCGGTTTTATTTCAAATATTTATGCAGTCAGTAACATTTTTTTTTATCTTAAAATTAATTTTTTATACATAGAATTGCTTATTAAGAATTAATTATTAAATAAATATATTTTTTTTAATTTTCAATGATATACGGGGACTTTCATTATTTCAGCTTCCGCCATGAATTGAACTCGGACTGTCAACAGACTACCCAAAACAAAGCGCAAAAATGGCCGGAAATGTCGGTATGGAGCAGCTTATTCCTATTGTGAATAAGCTGCAAGATGCCTTCGCATCCTTAGGCCTTCCACTTTCCTTGGATCTACCCCAAATTGCCGTAGTCGGTAGCCAGAGTGCGGGGAAAAGTTCAGTGTTAGAAAATTTTGTGGGCAGGTAAACTATTATGCAAGATGAACCATCAGGTCATTTTTAAACATATTGTTTATGCTTAAGTTTGTAGCTGTTGTATGTTTTGTTAAGTTTTCTGTTTAAGTTTAGAAAGAAAAGTTTTAATTTAGTTTTTTTGTTGATATCTTGTGAACCTAGGGGGCGTATCAGAATTTAGCTGGCGTGTTATTTACAATATGCAGGACATTCATGATTTGACATGTGTAAGATACATGTCATTATATCACAGTGATTAACTTCATTCAGTAATAATATATAACATTACATTCAGAAATATACTTTCAACTAATCAAGTACCATACATTCATTCAACTGAGACCTATATATATAATATTGTAATGATTGTTTTTGTACAAATGTGAACTAAATTCACTAATACTGTGTCGCGTGTGGCATCATGTGTTGTAAACATTATTTATTTTTAACATTGTCAGTGATGAGTTAAACAGACTGTTTACTTTAATGTCAGTGAGATTGTCGAGACTCAAGAGTTTGAACAGGTCTCTTTCTACTTTCAGACCAGTGCCACACAAAGTGTTCAAGAAATCTTGCTTGTTAGGTCAGACTGAAATAAATTTTCCACCTGCTTCAACTTTTTGCTTTGGACATTCTTTTAACTCTAACACTCTACAACTTTTATTATCTTTAAAAGAGTTAAATTCAACAAAAATCATTTGTGAATTTTTCATAGCACTCAATTACACATTCATCCTTAAACCTCTGACACTGAAGAGTTCCAGCAATTTTCGGGGAATTATTTTCAGCAGGTATTGGTCAAAACAAGCGGTCAAAGTCAGGGCAAGATTTCCTGAATCACTTTGTGTAGCACTGGTCTAAGATTCCAAACAGACCTCTGTCCATAATTTTTAGTCTAGACGATTTTTGCCGAGATTAAATGTACTCCAGCTTCACAAAGTAAAGCTTTCACATCCAAAGTCTGCCCATAAACTTTCACTGGGATAACCTTGGTTGAAGTAGATAATTTAATCAACTAAAAAGTTCTATACCATTTTTGAAAAATACAATATACATACACTAACTTACCATCTTACTATGCTTGATTTTTTGTATAAATTTATTGCCAATAGGCCATAATAAATAAATTGCTAGATTCTCATGCGAATTTTTTTAAAAATCGAGGCGGGCGGGCGGCTTTTATTTTATATTTTTTATTTTTTCAATTTTGCAGATTTTTTATTGACCTGGTCAGTCGGTGTAATTTTATCTACAATACCCGAATAAAAGTCATAGTAAAGGTTCAATCATCTCTTACTTCACATCATCACCAATCTTTTTCAACCAATGACCCTTGTTTAAAACACAGGGACTTGCTCCTGGCGTGTAAAAAATATTTATAAAAAAAAAAAAAAAACGATAACCCTACTACTAGGGTTATCGTTTTTTATATTCAGTCAGGTTTACAACGTGTCATCTCTAGAAAATAGCAACAGCTGTAAACCAATTTCTTTTTTATTATTCAAAGTTCACAATGAATAATAGCTTGAATATAAAATTAAATCAATTGTATCTTCAATTAATACTACTACAAAACAACGATATTATGTTTAATTTTTAAGCAAGAAAAACGTTATGGTTGTTGCGGATGAATTTCTACTATATATATATGAATCACATTTTGGGACTTCAATACAAACAATCTTAAATAGGTAAAATAATTACAAAATAAACACAAATACAACAAGACTATAAAGATTGAATTTCTTAATCTTAGCTTTACTTTTACGAGCTTCAATCCAATTTTAGCCGAACAACCTACGATATTGACCAGTAATGCCAGTATTACGGTACACACATCCATTTGTTTACCGCGCCTTATCGTAAGTCGATCGTACTTGTAACATTAGAGTCATGGTTGTAGTTAAAAAACTATTCAACAGAACAACACTCTGACAATGGCAATTAATTAAAATAATTTATGAAACCCTTCATATGTTTTCGATTGACTGAAAAGAAATTAGATTGATATAGAGGATGGACATTTCTGACGATGTTAATGAATAAATGCTGTCAAAAAAATGACACAAGGCTATCAGGCCCTATACTGTATTTGTGTTAAGACTATTTTTTTAAATTTTATTATTATGCTACTGGAGTCATACTTGACCTATTTGCAGATCTTTTGAAATTGTTTTTCTGTTGCTTATGAAGCCTTTCAATTTTATAAATATTTTTTACATGCCAGGAGCAAGTCCCTGTGGTTTAAAATATATACGCATGTATTACAGCAATTACCATCTTTTCAGCTTTCAAAATCATGTCGATGTTTCGCGGGATTTATATTAGATAGAATTTAGACGAGGAAAAACAGAAATAAAAAAAATCGAGGCGGGGGTATAAAATCGGGGCGGGCGGGGATGAGAATCTAGGAATATTTTTGTTATGGCCATAGCATTATTATTTTTTTTTAAAGAATTTAAATTAAAATTATAGATATGCAATGTTATTGTCAATAATATAAACATAACTCATTCCCATTAACTGCTTATTAATCTTTATAGAATACCATCAATTTTAATTAATATTTCAAATCTCTTACACCTGTCCAAATGATCCACTACTTATACAGAGAATATAAGGGTGTATTCTGACCAATCTGTATAAGTGTGTAGATCTATATTATCATGATTATGATTGGATTTAGTATATATATCCACACTTCATACTCTTAAGTGGTTCATTTAGGTACACAGACAACTAAGGTTAAATTTGCTAGGTCTTTAGGGCTTCAACATTTAAAATTTCTATCTCCGAGTCATTTGGTACACACATCCTTTCAACAGTCAACTATATTCAAAAAAATTTAAAATCCACATGCAGGAATCAATTTTGTGATTGGAGATAAATTTAACAAATAGATGCTAAAAACAAATGAAAAATCAACAAACACTATGATTTTCAATATACTTATTCCTTATTTCAAAATTTTGAATTATGTTGCTTATGAACAAAACTTGTATTCATCGTCATATATATTATGATCTTATAAAAGGTTATGTCTCTTATATATGGTCTATCATGATATTTATTCAAGGTCACGGTAACAAGGTCATGGACCTTTATCTAGGATAAAGTTAAAATATAGATGATTCATGATTTTTCATTAGCAATTTCCAAACATAATGTAGATGTCTTTGGATATTTAAATTATCTAGACAGCATTTGGTTATATTCAAAATCTTCATATAGTAAGACACTAATATGTTTATTTAAATGAAAGCATCAGAATCTTGTGACAAGCTTTCAAAACTTTTTTAAACAGGCTGTGTTTTGGGAAAAAAATAAGAGGCACATTTTACAATGTACATGTAATTTTACCTGTAATTTAAATTAAAATCATTAAATAGATTTTTCTCCATGAAAGTTTGGAAAGAACAATTTTGATTTCAGGCAGATTGAATTACCAGGTTCTGACAGATTTTGAACGATCTGCTTGTATTAGTAGTTGAAGATTTTTTTCCCTGTTTTGTGTTTATTTTTTTTAATTTATTTCTTTTTTAAGTGTTTCATACACACTCATACTAAGCAGAGAAATGTGCTCTGTTCTGATAAACATTTTCTTTGGACATCTTTTTCTTCTTGTTAAACCTATGATTGAAAAACTAAGGTATTGATCTGCTGATATTTAGGAATTGGTTAGGAAGTAGAAAGTCTTTGTCGAGAGTTATTGATGTTTTTACATAAATATTTGCATTTAATACTTAAGGGCCAGATAAATAGTCTTGATTTTCAGTATAGTATAATATTAAATTTCATAGCTTCCAAATATATGATGTAGTATTAAATATTTGTAGAAAGAATAGATGTATGATGCAAGCAAACATAGTTGTCATTGGAATGCTTTCTTTATTTTGAATACCAGTCACATGGCAGTGCAGTACAGTGTATTGTTGATCCACCCATAAAGTAAAATAAGGAAATTTTTATCATGTTGTCGGTTTTAATTACCTTTTTCCCCCTCTGAACTACCGATACCCCATCATAATATTGACTTTGATTGGTTACACTGGGAGTGATCAGATATGAACCTGACCTCCACAATAGTCAATAAAATCTACTACAGCTCTTTGAATTGAGTAATCTTACAGCTCTGCAGAGCCTATTGGAGCAGGGCATTGATTTACTAAGGAACCGGTTATGTATATGTACACTAAAGCAGCCTCCTTTTTACTCTGGTAGTATTGATATTTTGGAGGGACATTAAGATTCTGTTTATGCAGGTCTCATAGGGCTAAATGATAGGAAATCATGCCAGTCAAACTGTTTTCTGGGAAATTATATAGTTGACATTTTGATTACATTCCCATTAAAAACGTAATTCAATGTCAAGATGTGTATTTATGCATCTGTTGGATTGGGTAATATGAAAAAAGGATAGCTACTGATTAATACTGTATTATGGGTAATTTCTGGGGTCATCCAATTATTCGTGGAATCTT